GGAGGGTAACGCCCAAGGCTGGTTGATCCCTGATGTTAGCCTTGACCAAAAATCGAACTGGAGTCACTCGGTTCAAGGGCTAACCACTGCGTTACCGCTCCACCTAAGTTAGATTAAATTACAGAACTGAAGGTCTTTGTATAAGGACTTAACAACCACCCTACGGAAAAAAAAAACTTTCCCAGGGCACTTTGATGGCATGTGTCTGGCCAAAACTCACACAACATATGACACGTGACCTCCACTATATTAAACAGAGGGAGGTTCTTCTGCATCATACCGCTGTTGTATGCGTCGACGAAAAGCCTCGAGGCATTACTGCAGCATTTGTTTAAGCAGGTAAGAAATCCAGCCGTCAAAACTGTTGATTTCAGATGTGATTTAATTGTGGGGGGGGGGGGGTGGCTTTGTTCTGAAGTAATTATAATGTTAAATTTTGATTTAAAGCTTTCGTGACTGCAGTAATTCATATTCTTAGCTCTTTCGGTAAAGTCACGTTGTTTCCCTTCAACGTGACTTTACCGAAAGAGCTAAGAATATAATTCTAATGTTGTTAAGATATACATTTTTGGCATATTCTACATACGTACTGTATGAACGTGGTGGGTAAATGTTGTAGATATATGATTACGTAGGACATATGCAGAATGGGGAAGCGCTGATTACTGAGACCGGCATTGGAGTGGTCTTCACAGGTCGAATGACCGAGGGGAAGGAAGCCCTGAGAACAGATGGTGGGTTAATCTTAGGGCAGACATTTGATGTCGCAAGTCTCCAGCGTGGCAGTTGTCGGATCTGGCAGGAGTTGGCTAGACGTAGCATCCATGAGACTTCAGCTATGATGACATCTTTATCTTGACTGTATTTGCCTTCATTCGGGTGAAATAAAAATTTGTTGGCTATAGCTTTATAACAAATGTGGGTTTTTATTGCATAATATATTTTGTGAGGGCCCACTTGGATGTACCGTGAATCATCAAGGTTAAAGGACATTTATTCATTAACTTAATTTTTTTTTTATTCAATGGTGTGCTTTAGTTTTGAGTTGCAATGTTTTTGTAATCGTTTTCTCAACATAAAATAACGATAGAATACCATTCTTAGTTTGCCAGCAAGACCATACAATGGCTGGATTAAAATGTTTACGTGAAATTAATTGATGTTCGTAAATGTGAAGCATCGTTAAACAATACTATGAAAGTGCATTTTACTGCGACGTTTGGTCTATCAAAGAGCTATGTATACTTGGGGAGAAGTGAAATGTTTGGCGTCTTTGCTGTGGAAGTGGCATGCTCTAACACGCACTCACGCTAAGCAAAATTTGTTTTGTGACGTGAGAAACTTAAAGGACAATAGAACTCGCGTTCTTGGTTTCCTGATGACTAAACATGGTTCTCACGAGAATTTTCACCCTACCACAAATTCCAGTCATCTTATTTCCTCATTATGAGTGTTTAGCAATGTGCGTGACTCTTTATTGCTTTGGTTGTTATTCTTCCCATACACCGCAATATACTGAATCTCTGCGTTTGAGCTTTAAATGTGTCCAACAAATTTAGAGCAAATTATGTCATTAAGGTCACAGCAGATTGCTCATGTAAGGCAATCATTCTTAATGTGTATATTATCCAAAGCCTAAAAAAAACCCCTACACAAATCCACACCACAACATAGTGTTAAACATCTTCTTGGGTTCTTTCGGTAAAGTCACGTAGAATGAGAATAAAATAATACAATAAAATAAGACAATAGAATTCTCACGACGTTTCGGCCACAACACAAGTAGGAACAAAACTGTCAGGACGACAGAGCTTCAAGCTGTCGTCCCGACAGTTTTGTTCCTTCACCTGAAGAAGGCTACTTGTGTTGTGGCCGAAACGTCGTGAGAATTTTATTGTCTTATTTTATTATTTTATTCTCATTCTACGTGACTTTACCGAAAGAACCAAAGAAGATGAATCCTTGCAGTCACGAAAGCTTTAAATCGAAATAGAGTGTTAAACAGAAACGTCGTGAGAATATTATTGTGTTATTTTATTTTATCAATTTATTATTTTATTATCATTTTACGTGACTTTACCGAAAGAACCAAAGAAGACAAAAGAAAGCTTAATGTAATTCAGAACTCAAAATAGTCACGATGTATCTAACTCTTCAAAATATGCAATGAAACTACTTATAAAAGAAAGGCACAAATATTTTACCTTAAGACCATAGAAATCACAAAGTATATCAAACTAAAACATATATAGCAATTGAAATACTTTAGCTAGTTAACCAGAACATGTACTTCGGAACCCTGTTCACCATAATTTACCTGGTGAGTTAGCTAACAATCAACTGTTCTTTGTGCTTATGTAGTGATGGAATGAACATGGAACTGTTGTGATGAATATATAAAATCTCTGAAATGCTCATTTAAATAAAATATGTAATTCACACATTTGTGTTCAAGTCAAAATTCATTGATACAACTGGGTAAATATTGGTGAAATAAAATATATTCCGAGAAAATTTGGTTGTAATAATTGAGAATGTGCAAAAGGTATGCATTTACTTTTTCCCGAATGAGATCCTATGATATACATTTGCTGACGACGCTTATAGGCCTAATTGAACAGAAGTTTGCAGGAGAGTTCAAACACAACTATAATTATTCGACGCGTTTAGCTGGATCACCTTCACAATAATACCATAAAGTACACGGCAGTATGTTTTCATTGCAATGTTACATATTTCGAGTGAGTGAATTCAGTTAAGTTGTATCCATTGCAAACACAAAGCCAGTGCGAGTGAATTTAATTTTACAAAAGTACTCCATCCTGCTCAGGTCCGCCTCTTATTTCAGAATCGGAAGATTTTCTGGTTTATCCAGGATGTTTCTGTTGCGCGTTGTCGCTTTAAGATGTTTCACTGTTCCTGTTTTGTTTGTTGCGGTTGCACCTGACTCAAGAGCCGCATGGCTCGCAGGGTTATACCTAATAAATGAAACTTGAAACGTATTTATACTGGCGGAATCCGATTAGCTGTAAAGCCCTTTTTCGCAGTTGTCCAGTAGTTTAATCATTTAGATTGGAGTAAATCTGAGATTCTGAATCGTTTCTGTATGTATGTATATTTATGCCTGTGTTACGTTTGAAAATGTATCTTGTAATGTGGCCGTGAATAATATTGGCGAGTATGTCGCCATGCTTTGACTCCTCTAACGTCAAGCAAATGATTCAACAAGCAACAGATTTAAACAGTCGGACAAGTTTAATCCCCAATCCTGATGTAAGTGTAAGTTGGTATCAGAAGCGGGCCCTTAGCTCAACTCAATGCAGAGGAGAAACACTCAGGGGAAGGGGGAATTGAGTTAAAACACGCAAGGAAGACAGATGGAACACAAGGGGAAGGGAATACAGATGTACCACACGTGGCAGGGATAGCAGAGCCAAATACACAGGGGAGAGAGCAGAGTCAAAAGACGGGGAAGGGAAAACATATGGAACACGTGGGGAAATGGCGCGGGAAATTGATAGGAAGAGTCAAATAGAGACGGGGGGAGTGGAGGAGGAACACACGGGCAAGGGAGACATGGAGCACACAGGGAGAGAGGGAATGGATAGCAGAGTCAAATACAGAGGAACACACGGGTAAGGGAGACATGGAGCACACAGGGAGATAGAGAATGGGTAGCAGAGTCAAATACAGAGGAGGAACACACGGAGAGATAGGCAATGGATATCAGAGTCAAACACAGAGGAGGAACACACGGGCAAGGGAGACGTGGAGCACACAGGGAGATAGGGAATGGACAGCCGAGTCAAACACAGAGGAACACACGGGTAAGGGAGACATGGAGCACACAGGGAGATAGGGAATGGACAGCAGAGTCAAATATAGAGGAGGAACACACGGGCAAGGGAGACATGGAGCACACAGGGAGATAGGGAATGGATAGCAGAGTCAAACACAGAGGAGGAACACACGGGCAAGGGAGACATGGAGCACACAGGGAGATAGGGAATGGATAGCAGAGTCAAATATAGAGGAGGAACACACGGGCAAGGGAGACATGGAGCACACAGGGAGATAGGGAATGGATAGCAGAGTCAAACAAAGAGGAGGAACACACGGGTAAGGGAGACATGGAGCACACAGGGAGATAGGGAATGGACAGCAGAGTCAAATATAGAGGTACACACGGGTAAGGGAGACATGGAGCACACAGGGAGATAGGGAATGGACAGCCGAGTCAAACACAGAGGAACACACGGGTAAGGGAGACATGGAATACACAGGGAGATAGGGAATGGACAGCAGAGTCAAATACAGAGGAGGAACACACGGAGAGATAGGCAATGGATATCAGTCAAACACACACAGAATGGAGGGGGGGGCAGACTCAAAACACGGGGAAGGAAGAGCCGATCAGCACACGGTGTGGTGGTGGTGGGGGGGTGTAAAATGAATTCAGAGGGAATGTAAAGCGGAAGAAGGGAAGTGGGTAGGCTGCAACGGAGCGAGGTTTTTATCACGGGCAAGGCGAGCTACGGGCGGCTAAGCCGCGTCGGGCGAGCGGGGAGGGACGTTGTGTCTCTTCCGGGGCGTGAGAGGCATTGGCCGTGGGGAGAGAGGGGGGGGGCGTGGGGAGAGAGAGGGGGGGGGGCGTGGGGAGAGAGAGGGGGGGGGCCGTGGGGAGAGAGAGGGGGGCCGTGGGGAGAGAGGGGGGGCGTGGGGAGAGAGGGGGGGCCCTGGAGAGAGAGGGGGGGGCCCTGGAGAGAGAGGGGGGGCCGTGGGGAGAGAGAGGGGGGGCCGTGGGGAGAGAGAGGGGGGCCCTGGAGAGAGAGAGAGGGGGGCCGGCAGCAGGCGGCAGGCGGCGAGTGGCGCTCCCAACCACCCCCCGCCTCTCCCGGTAGCCCGAGCCGCGGCCGGTTCGGGCCGGTTAAATAAAGGAGGTTGGTGGGTGGTTGTGGTGGTGGGTGGTGGTGGTGGGGGGTTGTGGTGGGGGGTTGTGGTGGTGGTGCTACGTAAGCCACGGGTCCCCACTCGCTCCGTAACATCACCAAAAGCGGCAGACTCCTCCTCCTCCTCCCCCCCGTCCGTCCGCGTTGCTACTCCAGCAGAGAGCCGCCAAGGGGGTAGGAGCCGGGGTCGTCTCCTCCACACGCCACCAACACAGCAACGCGGGAGGATACACAGCCCAAACAGGTGGACACCAGACGCGTTTGTCGTGAGACTGTTCGACAGTGACATCGATTGGCGTTGTGTGTGTGTGTGTTGGTGAGACTGCGTAAGACGAAGCTGTTGTGTGATTACACACACAAGCACAAACACACAAACACACACCACAAGCGGTCACGCGAATTGAATGCGTTGCGTTTGGGTGTCACACGACATTTGCTGTACGATTGTGTCTCCGTTGTTTACGCGTGAGAGCTCCGTGTGTGTGTTAGTCGGGTGTTGTTTGTTTGTAATCACCACCACAACCACAACCATCACCACCACCAACTGGACCGCTACTGTGTGGTTGTGTCCATAGGTTTGGACGTGTGGAAGGGTTATTATGTGATGCCGTATTGACACGTACGGCAATGTGTGTTGTGTGTGTGTGTTGTGTGTGTAACATTTAACACATTGTGTTATTTGACAATGCGCCTATATTTGAAACATCGTCGCGTCTACGTGTGTAATATTACGTACAGTACAGGCCTATCTAATATAGACGGCTGTGATGTGTGTTAGCCAGTATCACTGTTACTTTAGGTCTCAATACCCTGGGTAAAAATCACAACTTGTGTGTTGGCAATCAAAGCGATTATAATTATTATACTGTGTGTATGCCTTCATTTTGGTTAATCAGTTATACAAGCCACAGAGCACATCGCAGCAATGAGATTTATATCGTTGTGTTTGTAACACTATACACCCGCAAGTTGTGTACTCCATTGGTACAAAATGTAACGTTATATGGCAAATTATATATAAATAAGCAACCGCTACACTGTATCTGATTTTGCATGTTACTGTGTGTCCGTAGCTACATGCAGTATGTGTTCATATTTATAATACGAATAGAACTGATTGGCACAGTACGTAATGTGTCTATCTATACGATAGATAAAACCCACTATTGTATGGTCATTCGTGTAGTTGTACACGTCTGTATATTTGATATGCAGTGTATATTCCGTATACCCATGTACCGTGTGTGGCTTTGCCCGTGATGTAAGTTGCAATGCAATATACCACAGTACGGTGCTGTGTTTGGCAGTAGCTGGACTAATAATGTGTGTCGATGTATTAAATACCGTATACCCGCACCATTGTGTCGGTAATTAGTCTATCTATATATTACGTATTAAAATATAACCACTGCTCGATTTGACACCGCGTGTATTAAATACGTATGCGCAATATGCTCCAGTGTACAACCCATCCACAGTACTCCGTGGCACTGGGTAAATTGTCTCTGTGTGCGTCGAATGAGAATCCCTTTGTCTCGAACGTTACACACAATGATAAAGACAGAGACTCACCCACCACCCGGATAGCCTGCAACACACTGTTGGGGCAAGGGCTGTCTGCGAGCACCTATGAAGGCCGACACGGGCACAACAAAAGGGGGCCCTTGCTGCACGACCAACACCACGCACGGCCGTCTTTGTCTCCCCACTGCTCATCTTTACACACCGCCACTAGGTACTCGTTTTAAGGCTGAGTCGACCTAGGAGGGAGGGGTGCCTATAGGACCGGTTCAGATATTCGCCGTCAACTGCTGTTGGCCGTGAGCGGGGAATGAAACTCGGGTGGGCCGGTTCGTGGGGCAGTGCGCGAACCACTGCGCCACCGCTCCCCACGTCTTTGACTTTGCAGACACACACACAGACACACACACAGACAGACACACACACAGACACACAGACAGACACACACACAGACACACAGACACACAGACAGACACACACAGACAGACACACAGAACACACAGATAGACACACAGACAGACACACAGAACACACGCAGATAGACAGACACACAGACAGACACACGGAACACACACAGATAGACACAGAACACACGCAGATAGACACACAGACAGACAGACACAGACAGACACACAGACAGAGACACAGACAGACAGACACACAGACACACACACAGATAGACAGACACACAGACAGACACACAGACAGACACACACACAGACAGACACACAGACACACACACACAGACACACAGACACACAGACAGATAGACAGACACACAGACAGATAGACACACAGACAGACACACAGACAGACACACACAGACAGACACACAGACAGAGACACAGACAGACAGACACACAGACAGGCAGCCACACAGACAGACACACAGACAGATAGACACACAGACAGACACACAGACAGACACACAGACAGACAGATAGACAGACACACAGACAGATAGACACACACAGACAGACACACAGACAGACAGACACACAGACAGACAGCCACACAGACAGACACAGACACACACAGACACAGACAGACAGATAGACACACACACAGACACACAGACAGATAGACAGACACACAAATAGACAGACACAGACAGACACACAACGGACACACAGACAGACACACAGACAGACAGACACACACAGATAGACAGACAGACACACACACAGACACACAGACAGATAGACAGACACACAGACAGATAGACACACAGACAGACAGACACACAGACAGACAACCACACAGACACACACAGACACACAGACAGACAGACACACACAGACACACACAGATAGACACACAGACAGATAGACACACACAGACACACAGACAGATAGACAGACACACAGATAGACAGACACAGACAGACACACAACGGACACACAACGGACACGAATGTATTAGTTGCGGTTTGTGACAGTTTTTTGTTATTTCACTCGGATATAAGAAAGAACAAATTCCACCCACAGACAAGTAAGTGTATCTGATTCTTCGAACGGAATGTTACAACCCCGTTCCAAGCGCTACACATTTTCCCCGCGGATACTCTTTAATCATAACAGTTACTGTACATGCCTAGCACATGCCTTGCACATGTGTATTATACAACAGCTCGCCACCCATTCTGTAATTCGCAGAGGGACGAATCCTGCTGCTGCTGCTTTGACTGACAACGCCGTTTCTCTCTGCCGCAGATGGGGGAACTGCTGTTTTGGGGTTGATGTCAATGTTCTACCAAATATGCCTCTTTGTTTATTGTTGGTTGTTTGCCTGAACGGATGAAGAACTGTGTAGTCGTGAACACGTCTGGTAAAGCTTCATTTGATCCTAAGGGATGTCTAGCTTTATGCGCATACATTTGGCGTTTTAATGAAGATAATTGTTCTGGATTTTAACTCTATTTATGCTTCATTCAATGCAATAAATCACTTGCTTGCAATGTCTGTGGCCCAATGTGAAATGTAAAAGCATCTGTGAACCGTCAGAAACCGACCTACGTTGAAAACGGACCCCACCGAAAATTGTATAAATCGAGTGACCTTCCATTAAGCTACTGATGACAAAAGATGAGTCAGGCCCGTTTGGTTTAAACATCGCTTGGATTTTGATATGTTAAATGGAAATAAAAAAATGCGGGACATTGTCGGTGACATCACTGCTGGATTACACTTCCAGGATGAGCGGAATGAGATAGAAAGTAAAAATGGGGATTTACTAGATTTTAAGTTGTTTACCCATCTCCATAATTAACCTCACCCTAAATTGCGTATCTCGAAAGTCTGATTGGTTTCCGTGTGTGTTGAGGGGAAATATAGTTTACGAAGGACATGTTTTATTTGCTTAAAATTTTATTATTTTGTTCATGGTGATTTATCAGGCTTTGGGAGGGCTTCATCTAGCAGTGGATGGATCATGGATGCTATACACTTGCAATTTATTCTTCTAGTTTTTTTATGGGGATCTTGCTCAAAAGAACAACTTGTGTGAGTCATGGGGAATGTGAAACAGACAGCATGCCCACTTAACAGCTGCTATGTTTGGGTAGCCGCAAGCACGATATTTTGACTTTTCAGACACACACACACCGACACACGCCCACATACACAGATGCTTGGGAAATGCCGACCCGACGGAAGTTGTGGGCATAACAAGTTTCTTTTAATTGCACCGTAAAGAAATACGCATTATATGCAGTGGTTTAGAAGTTACATAATGATGTCGCCTCCATCCTGCCAGCATTGATTTCTTCACACTCGGTATGTGAATTATGTGAGAAATAGTGATGCGCAAGTATGCACGGTTGCGATGAATGCTGGACACCAACTGGCTCATCAAAATATGTGTTTATACTGTACCTGTTGAAATGCCCCCACTTGCCTATAAAGCCTGCCATTCCAGCTTTCATACATAAGTGAGTGTGTCCTGGCACACTTGCATGCACAGGTGCTTTAATATTTGATTGCAAAATTTCACACATTGACAGACCGTCACGTATGTTTTTGGGACCACTTGAAAGTGACTGCTGAATTTTTGTTTTTTTACATGTAAACGTTTCCCAGCCAGGGTGACACCACTTATGTGCAATGGAGCCTTGATGACACATGTTTGTGTGTGCTGCTGCATTGGCAGATTTGAGGAAAGCTACGATGGTGAATTTGATTGACTTACAGCCAAGACAAGTAGTGGTTGTGCATGATATAGACATTGTATAGTTCAGTAGGGTTTAAAATGAGAACAAAGTGCATCGATTTATGTCGCACACTGGTGTGTAAGAGATAAGAAGTCTTGGCATTAAGCTGTCACCTTTGCCCACTTTTAATGGACTATCATAACAACAAAAAATATTTCAGCATTTTGGTACAGACACATTATGATGTATTTAAGACTGAAGCAGGAGGATTTCTCCACAACTCTGGCTGTCCGCCTGATGATGCTAGTTGTAATTACTGGCGAAACGTCGTACTCAGATTATAAATGTTGTGGGTTTACTTTCCAACACACCGGTGTGCTGAAAAAAAAAACTTATATTATGGATGATGTATATGGAGGAGAGTTGTACACACTGTTCCATACCAAATAAGTACCCACTCACAGATGATTTGAATTTATTTTCTGGCCATGGCAACACCAGTGGCAAGTGTTGTCTGAACTTGTTCTTGAATGCGTACCTAGTGTGGTGACTCAGGCAGCCGGATGTGTTCGCTGGCCATACCAACTGCTCGCGCTCCATCCCTGCTTCAATAGATGCTCGCTAAACAACATTTTTCCAAACAAAACCTATTGGGCTACACTAAAGGGTTCGTCATCATCAGCACAACCACTTAAATGTTTACACCGTGCCTCCCATGCAGTACGTGTTGTGCCGCCCTACGGTAGGGGGCTCTCTGGCGGAAGCTGTACCTGTCCGGCACAAGCTGTACACAGTACTAGCCAGCAAGTGAGGCGTTCGTATTTCAGTAGGGAGGACGTTGCGATATCGTTTTTCACCAATTGTCGGGGCAAGTTAAGTTGCGAATAAGTAAACATTTTGTAATGTGTTCTGCAGGAGCCGGTGACAAGGCATGCAAAGTTGCGAAGAGTCCTCAGAGAGCGTTGATGAGCCTCACAGTAAAGGCCCCCGGGGGAGCGAGGAACCGCACGTCATTGTGATTGGCGGCGGCCTTGCTGGACTCGCCGCCGCCAGCAGACTACTTGAACGTGGCTTTCGCCATGTGGTCATTCTCGAGGCCACCGGCCACCTTGGAGGGCGCGTCCGCAGCAAGGAATTTTGTGAGTCCAGGGCACCGTCCTTATCGGGTCAATCTGTTTTTGCCACAGTTAAAATTGCTCTATGGCATTCCGTTGTGTTTTGGGTTGAACAATGTGTTTTTTGGCCCGATGCCCGATGTTTTGCTTCATGAGCTGGGAGCTTCTTTTGGAACTGAACTGAATTAATGAACTGACTTTAATTCAGTTCCTGAAGAAGCTCCCAGTACGTGGAGCAATGGAGCGAAACATTGGAAATTGTGCCAAATACACTGCTCTCCATCTTGAAAACACAGACATACAAAGCACATCCGAGAAAATCTATGCAGTGAAATTGCTATTGTTTGCCTTAAAATTTGCATCTTCATGTCACTTGAGTAGACCTCATTTGTTGTAGTCCCTCCGTGACTGCTGAGCTGAATAAATGTGTTTTCTTTACAAAATTTCATACAAAATAGTGCTCATCTATATGAATATGCTTTCAGCATTAACAGAAGCCTATCGGCACCAAGAATACATTGTATTTCTGTTATTCAAGTAATGATTACACGTGACTAAAAAAATGTAAGTTCGTGGCCTTGGCTGGAATGATACTATCTAAAATGAAGGTGATAGTTCACTCATGTTTTGACATGCATACATTTTATAACAAGTTGGGTGTAGCTCATCACATGGGTTTACAGTTTATTAAATACAGTTATTACATGCAGTGGGTGGGTCTGCTAGTGTTCGAAAACATTGCCCCAAACAGAAGCTCTACACTTTTATTTTTTCCGTGTTTTTTGTTTAGTTGTAAGTGCCCTAAAGAGTGTGACATTGGTGCAGTGGCTGGCATGCTACACTATGAACCCGGAAACTCTAGATTGATTCCAGGCCAAGGTGGCGAGTGATGGCATAACCTTTCCTGCCCTCGCCTACTAACTTACACTGACCAGCAAGGTGAAGTATTATTAAAAAGCCCCAATAGCCCATATTTTGTGAGGAGTCCTTCATCCATTGGTGAATCAATAATGGCTGGAAATTTGCATTCAATAACAATTGCTTTGGAAAATAACGTTTCAGTCTAAACTCTCAATATAAATTATTAAAGAATGAATCATTTATTTTCACTGAAACCCTTTGCAAGGTGGATATGTTTTTTTTAGATATTGTAAATACTGCTGGGCTTAAGTGGAGCTTTTTGCTATTTCTTACAAATGCCTTTTTTTCCAGAATTTGGAGTCCTGGTTTATACTCTCAAGTTGCATTTGAGTATACATTGCATCATATTCCTAAAATGTTCACTCTTGCTTCAACAAAGCTTGAACATATTTAAAAGTGCTCTTCCGACCGTCCATGTGTTCTAGTGTTTAGCGATGTAATGAAGTTTTTGAAAAACATCCTATATCCTTTTGTGTAATGATACTGTCCTCCATGTGTTGCCGTGTTATGTGGCATCCTTTCTACCATGCCTTTGAGGAGTTCATCTTGCAGCTCATGTTTCAAGATTTTTAGACTTTGCATAATAGTAGATAATATGCAATGCAATGAATCTTTGGAGCACTGAGTCAGTGAAAATATAAAACAACTGTTCCCTAATTGCTGAAGCCCCAATTAATAATTTATTGTAAAATGACGCTCATTTTAATTGTGTTTGTTAATCAGGAAAGTTAAATTGCATTGTACTGTGATAAAGATACGCATTTATTGAGTCTTGCTGTATGTGTTACCCTTAATTAAGACTACATGGTAAATGACATACAAATTATATAAAATCATCATTTTGCCCAATTGGATTGAATATCATAGTTTACCTTTCAGCCTCCAAATTAATTTAGACTGACCACAATGGCCATTAGTTTGGGATGTTTGACCATACTTCACCATTGCGGTCATTGTGCATTGTTGAAGGGGGAGGCCCAGGAACTGGATAAGATATCACTCGCCACTCATATTAGCCATGGCTGGGAATTGAACTCGCAGTGTAATAAACCCTCCACCACTGCACCGCCCCTGTTGGCATTACGTGAAATTGCTACGTTGTCTTCGCAACCAAACATGTCTACTTACCGCATGTGGAGTAAAAATGCAACGCTCCGTCTGTGTTTTTTTTCCTTTAATCGAAACACCGTATCTTCCCGCCAGTATCGATTTCTCAGGTATAGCAGCCACAGCCATCTCTGCTGTCGTCTCTCACTGCCGGCCACAGGCCAGACGACGGTGGAGCTCGGAGCAGCCTGGATCCATGGGGCGCGTGGGAACCCCGTGTATCACCTGGCCGAGGAGCACAACCTTCTGGTGGAAACAACGGAGGAGGAGCACAGCCTCGGCCGCATCAGCCTCTACTCGACGGTGGGCGAGACGTGCTACTTCACGTCATCCGGCCGTCGCCTGCCTCGCCACTTCGTCGAGGAGTTCCGCGACCTCTATGACAAGGCCGGTTGTTGCCGTCGCTCTTTGCGTTCTCATTGCCCCCATGCTTCCACTTACGCTTTGATGTAACTCAAGCTCAGGGGCATTTTTTTTTTTTAAACTCTGTGTTGTGTTCAACGTTTTTTTTTTGTATCTCTCTCTCTCTCTCTCATGTTACCGCCTATTCAATTTGTCTTTCTTACCGTTGTTTGATCCCCTTCGACCCTTTCTTCTGACACCAACAAAATGAACCGCAGGTGTTTAACTTGACACAGGAGTTTTTCCAAAGGAACAAGCCTCTCGACTCTGAGCACAGCAGCAGCGTGGGCGAGTTCATCCGTGAAGTCATGCGCAAGTGCATCGAGGAGGAGCCGGATGACTCAAGCCAGACCAAGCGGGTCAAGCTGGCCATGCTCCAGCAGGCTCTCAAGGTTAATCATTGGCCAGACCAAAACATCATATATTATTAGATAAAATTAGCCTATTGTATTGTGCATGAGCTATGTAGGTGTGTTGAACTTCTTTCCCACCGTACATAGCCAACCGTGCTATTCGGAGATGCGGGGGAAGGACAACAAACTAGACACAAAAAGCAGTTCTAAAGAAATGAGTTTTCAATCTAGACTTCAAAAAGTATGGCTATGAAGTTGGACTGTTGCTTAAAATGTCACCTGGTTTTTTATATATATTTCTTTTTTAAGGCAGTGTTATTGGTGAATGTGAGTCTTTTTTATGTTGGGGAGAGGCCGTCTAGTGTTTACAGCACTGCTCGAATGAGTCCGGAAATATATTTAAATGTGTGGTTTGCGTCATTGTGGGTTAGAGGTCCTTTGAAAAGTGTTTACAGTACTTACACAGTATTAGGATGCCAGGAATTTTTTTTGGCAAGTTTGAGCTAGTCCCAGATTTAATGCTTGCTATGTTGCGCTGTTCTTTTGAATCTATCACAACAACCTGAGTTTGAATCTTGGCCATGGCTAAGGCTAGTAGCGAGTGATATCTGAACTGGTCCTAACACACCCACTTGACTAAATCGCAATGACCAGCGTAATGACGCATGGTCACACTACTCTGACATGGCGATGGGGAGGTCTTCATCCAGCAGTGGCATGACAAAGCTGATGTACAATATTCTTATTTTATTCATGACATCAATAATTACAACTCGTAAAATAACAGGTAGAAAATATGGAACCGAAGTTTTGTTTTGGATTTGTTTTTTTTTGCATGATAACAGAACAAGCCAATTCCAGTTAATCAAACAGATGGGGTGAAATTTTCGGAACTAATTTGCAGCTCGTTGTCAATCCACTTCTCGTTAAAGGCCTTAAAATTTTGTATAATACTTCATACTGGTTGGTGCAGGTTGGTAAAGAGAGGATTCAGGATGGATTCAGGTATCACCCGCTACTGGTGTTAACCCTGACTAGGAATCGAACTCAAGTGACTGGGTTCATAGCGTAGTGCAATAACCACCATGCCTCAGCTCCACCCCTTTTTTCATTCCAAAATCATTAATCCAACTGTATTGCATATGGGATCTTAAGCTGCACGATGATTTGAACTTATGGGTGTGTTTCTCAGATTTTATCTTCATTTCATAAAGATACTCTCCATAAGACTCCACAATATTAGCACGTGAAGGATTTTTGGTCACCCTTTTAACCTCAGCCAAAAACCACATCTCATCATCAAATACCAATGTTCCTAGGCTCATTCTGGTCAGTATAAGCCCTTTGTTGACTCCGTACAATGAAAATTACTCAAGTATTTTGATGGATTCACAGATGAACAAATTCGGTTTCATATCATTAATAGCTGTACTTTGCAATGGCCAATTAACCAACAGTATAGCTGAGCATCTCCACAAGAATAAATCATCGATGTTAGCCTATTAGCCTCCCTGTTTTCCACATGTTAACCAGATATACAGGAGCCATTGTTATGAACCTAACTGGGCTCTCACCTCCTGCCAGGTGGAAAGTTGTGAGAGCAGTGCGTCAAGCATGGATGACGTGTCTCTTGCCGCGTTTGGGGAGTGGACCGAAATCCCCGGTGCCCACCACATCATCCCCACGGGCTTCACATCCATCGTGGACATCCTTCAGCGAGGCATACCAAGCTCGTCCATACGCATCAGCAAGCCAGTACGCCAAGTTCTCTGGGACTCTACCGAGCACTGCAGTGGCTTTTCCGGCTCTGCCAACCAAAACGGCAGCAGCGACGGCGGTTGCCTAGAAAACGGAATCGGCGGCGGCGGCGGCGGCGGCGGTGGTGGCAGAAACGGCACAAACGGAGACTCGGAGAAGAATCCAACGCACAACATGGAGCCGTGCTGTCGAGTGGCGCGTACCTTCCCCGTGCGCGTCGAGTGCGAGGACGGGGAATGCTTCCTGGCCGACCACGTCATCCTCACGGCCTCGCTGGGGGTCCTCAAGGAGCGGCACGGCACCTTGTTCGATCCTCCGCTGCCCGGCGACAAGGTGGCGGCCATAGAGAAGCTTGGCATTGGCACCACCGACAAGATCTTCCTCGAGTTTGAGGAGCCCTTCTGGGGCCCCGAGTGCAACAGCATTCAGCTGGTGTGGGAGGATGATGTGGGGGAGGAGTCGGAGCAGGACCAGCTGCGTCCCTGGTATCGCAAGGTTTGCAGCTTCGACGTTCTCTACCCGGCGTCGCGCTACGGACATGTGCTCGGCGGCTGGGTGTGCGGAGACGAGGCTCTCGAGATGGAAAAGCTGGACGACGAGACGGTGGCCGAGACATGCACCGAACTGCTCCGCAAGTTCATGGGCAAGTGTGACACAACGCGGAATGTGACGATGAAATATACTGCATGTACAGAGAATTCGCGGGGAGGGGGGGTGAAGTCCTAATAATACGTTGTGTTGTATGATCGGTGTGTATAGGTCGGGCTTTAAAGGACTTTAAAATGAGCCTCGTTTAATCTGGTGTGACTTTTCTTTTCCAGCAAGGGTATGCCCTTTGTAATATATGCTATCATAAACCCAAGAGTAAGCAATTGCAACGTTGCCCTTTTTTTGTTCGAACATGTTATTTTTCAAATGCCTTGTCTCTCTATTATGCCCCAGGCCAAATGTGTGATTTAATTCGCAAGGGTTTTCTTTTTTAACAGTATAGTCGCTCTTTATGAATTGTTTCGGCATGTATTTATGGCTTCCACAAATTATAAAATTGGTTTTAGTTTGTTTTTTCTTCTTTCGGGTATACGTACATTTCCCTGAGTGCTAATTGCAGGGTTTGTATCTGATCTGTGTGTGAGCGTGCTATTGAATTTGTGGCTGTGTGTGGCGCTTTGCATTGCCGTAGGTAAGTATACAGCATGAGGGTTTCATGTGAGTACGTGCAAATATTGTCTGGGTACATGAAAATATTGTTTTGAAAATGTGTCCTAGACACTATGTGTAAGTGTGTGAGTTAATAATAGTGGAATTGCAACGGTGCAATGTACATTTCTAAATTGTAGGGTAGAAATGTATCTATCATCGCTATGATAAAATATGGGTTGAATCCAATTTTATTTTTCATTAGAATACTTTAGCAATGCAATAGACTATATATAATGCTTGTGTTTCTAAAGCAAATAATATATTTGCCAGATATAAAAGTTGTGCTAAATATGTTATAAAACCTGAAGCGTGGAGAGTTGCACGCTTGGAATTATATTGAGGCAGAAAGAAATAATGCATGGCTTGCAGAACATGCGCACATTACAGAGATTTATTGACAAAACAAAAGTGTGCTTGGGAAGGACGTCATATGAGTGAGCAAGACGAGTGATGGCATCGCAACCGAAGGACAGAACGCTCCCGGAAGCCAAGTCGGTTCATGCGCAGGATTACGATGGATCGTGGGTTTGCAGGATGGTGACAGATTGCAACGGTACAGAGAGACCTTCGTCCAGCAGTGGATGAACAATGGCCGATGGTGATAAGTTCTATAACCTTTTTTTTTTTTAATGGCATTTACCCTTTTCATTTCTTAAGGGGGTACGCAGCAAATTGTGACTCGCTGTGGGTGTATAATATCACCGTTTAAACACTGCCTCTTATTAAAGAACATTTCCCTTGCTGTCACACAGGGAACCCAAACATCGTGAAACCACGCAAGATCCTCAGGACTTTCTGGGGCAGTGACCCGTACACACGTGGCTCGTACTCTTACACCCGCGTGGGGTCAAACGGAGCGGATATTGACACATTGGCTGAGCCCCTGCCTTATACAGACAGCACCAAAATCCAGGTACCAGCAATGCACTGTGCACAATACACGCTGCTTTACACTACCGATGCTTCGCTCCACCTGCTGGCAACTGAACTGAGAAGCTCCCAGCATGTGGAACAAATTGCCAGGAATCATTTGGGACGAACGCGTTGCGGAGCTATTCCAGTAATTGCCGTTAACGCTTGCATCACTCTGCAGTTTTCACGTTGAGTACTTAAAACTGGTGTAAGATTGGTCAGGCTGATTCATCGTGTACAGTAGGTTGTGCCACTCCTTTTATTGCCAGTGGAAGCTTATTGTCTGTTTCATATTTTATAGCGTGTATATGTACACGCATTTTTACACAAGTACTGTGCATGCATTTGTGGGGAGCGGTGGAGTAGCAATTAGCGCACTGTGCTACGTACTCAGGGACCCGGGTTTGATCCCTGCTGATGGCCAACACCAGTGACAATTATCGGAACCAGTCCTTGGACTCCCCTAGGTCGAATCAGCCTCAATTGAGTACCCGGTGCGATGTGTAAAAATTGCGACTCGGGGAGACAAAGGCAGCCAGGCATGGTACTGGCCACCCACCCCCTCGTGTGCGACTCGCTAACAGCACTTGCCCCAACAGTCTGTCAAAAGGCTACATGGGAAATAGTTGTAGTTTTTTTTATAAAGATGTCCTCTGAATGTCATTCTCTCTCAGCCTCTGCAGTTGCTGTTTGCCGGAGAGGCCACTCACCGGAAGTTCTACTCCACGACACATGGTGCCTTGCTGACTGGCCAGCGTGAAGCAGGCCGCATAGTTGAGATGTATGCTTATGGCGACGGTTCAGAGGGGAAGGAGAAGAAACTCGAGGAGCTCATACGCTATTAGCGAGCGTTAGCATAGATGTGTTCGCATTCTGTTGAGGTGGCATCTGCTCTTTGACTACAGACCGGTATTGTGTTGTAGCTTGGTGGCGTGATTAATGGAACAAATAGATGAGATACACACGTTGCATGTGCTTCAAATAATTTTCTTCAACCTTTGGTGCTGTGGATTGGTATTGTGCATCAGGCCGATGAAAATGGAAGTATTTATGGCACCGTTACATGTCAAAACCACCATGCTTCTCCACTCATACGTATGTATCTTGTATGTATGTTGAATTTCTTTCGCAACATACGTAGCCAACCGTGCTAATCGTAGGTTCGAGGAAAGGACGACAAACTAAACACAAAACGCAGTTCCATTACAGTAGTCATATTAAACTTTCACAAACATCAGTGTTCATGACTTGCTGTTTTTTTAGACAATATTACAATGTGTTATTCTGGTTTTAATACATCTCCGTATTTCTGTAGTCATATACCACCAACAGTACCACACTATTCGGTATAGAAAATGCATCCTCCTAACTGCAGTGGATTTATGAAATATTACACAGATCAATACATTCATGAAAAACAAGTTCATTCGTTTGCTCTCATAGTCAATTGCAGGAAAGAATTATGAGTCGAATACAGGAAGCCGCACAACAACTGCAAATGGCCAAACACTTTCAGTCCTTGTGAATGTTGAGAATAACTCTCCACGTGCGGTGTTTGTTGTTGTTGAAGAGACCAGCAGACAAAACAATTCCATGAACGTTGTGGTAGTTCGTTTTATATTATCCGATATCAAAGAAGAGTGGTTGTAAACCAAAATGTCGGTTACAGTGTCATAGAATGTCCTAATGAAATAATTTGTCGCTGCATCGTTCACATTGATTCATTTAGCTTTATTGGACTAATTATGCAAACCGCTGCATGTGTAGCAATGACAGTAGCGACAAGCCGTGCAGTAATCACTGTTATTGTCGATTTTACACAACCGAATTTCATTGTTTTTAATCTTTGTATGTGAATGTGTACACGTGCCACTAAATCGTTTCGAAAACAGGTGATTTTAATACGTGTTATTTTCACCGTGATGGATTTATATCACCTTTAGAATACTGTTTAAAAGTAAAAGAGAGTAGCAAGTGCCTTGTTTGTGCTTTTGCTGAAATGCGTGAACAATTGATTTAACTGGTCATTTGATCTTGCTAACGCATTAATAAAGTTACAGCATTACTGTGTGGTTGCTTATGGTTGACATACAAGCCGTGCTTACACTACCCCCTAGCGTTTATAGTGCTCACGGAGCCTCGCTGAGACTGCATCCACAACCATGCTTTGCCAACACAGACACGAACTTTATTCAGTTTAACACGTAGGCTTTCGCGACCAATATTATCCATGTTAAAGATTGTTTTGGGTAAATATAAATGTGTGGTTAAACCCGCCACCACCTGACAAAGCCAATTAGGTGTTGTCATGTAAACAAAACGTGGCAATTAGTTGCTACTTCAGCACACTAGTGACACACCTTGTCTGTGTCGGGTAGTGGCGGGTTTAACCACACATTTATACGCGATCTAACCCAAAAAAAACCTTTCTTAATCGGACTACTTCAGCTGGTGAAGCATTCAGCTAAGCATCTCGGTTCCAAGGACAAACAGCGAAATACTGTCAGCAGTGCTGGCAGTTACAGGACATTGCAGGAAGGGAATGTGCGTACAAGAGCAAAAACATGAAATATTTACACGAACCGTGCCAGAACTTGCTACAAACAATAAATTGTGATCAAATAAAAAAAAGTATCTTTTCACAGACTTATGTAAATAACCCATATAACACATACGTAAAGGAGTGTATGGCAACTGTGGCAAAGGTGCTCCTGTAGCATGGACTTCAAACACGAAAGGTATATTTAGAATAATAAGACTGGTTATAATGACATTCCAAAGTGTGGGTGCTGTGCAAGAGAAGGCTCAGAAACCAGTCTGAGTTCTCGATCAAGGAATGGTCAACATGATACTGGAGAACCCTCTTCGGTTGATAGATGCAGAAAGTGAGTTACATTCTGAGCCGATATACATTTAAGGATTTGTCGATTAAAATTGTCCAGTGTGTGTCTACGTAGCTCCAGCAAAGTTAGATTAGCATTAGAGCAAAGCTCACAGTGATGACTTCCATAAGGGACACCCAATGCAAATCTTAAAGAGTCGAATGATAAAGAGGATTAGTTAATCCCACCAGACTTCTCGTTGTACCGAGGCGTCCAGGCTGCGGCATTGACACCGTGCAGGATTTTTGTTAATGCAAGGGGAACGAACGGGCGTTACGTGGTGGTAACAAAACACGAATGCATACATAACGTGAAGCGTACTTTTGTAATAAAAGACACCATGAAATGTCTCACTGAGCAGCATGTTGACTAGAGGTGTGGACTTGTGATTTCTCTGTATTGTTGCCTAAGGAACTTTAGGGGAGTGGATTATTGGTGTTGGATGTCATACCAGAAAGCCTGAGAAACCTCATGCACCACATTCATATCCGTTTTTACAAAATATTGTAATTTTCGTTTCTCACGTTATTCTCATACTTTACTTCCTAATATGTATTCAATGATCAACTCGGTCAGTAGAGTTGTAAATAAATTTATTTTCATTTAATTAATGCTTCGCTAAATATTTGACTGAATCGTTTTCACAGTTAATGTACTTATGTATTGCGTTACTGACGGCAAATCTATAATCATAAACGCAGACGCATGCAGTTCAATAACTATTAAGTGTTCTTCCATCGTACTGTACGTACAGCAAAGCACACGGTACAAAGAAATGTGAAATACAATACACATTGAGAGGAAACTAATACTGGTAGGAACGAAGTTGTAAACTGAGTGTACCAGCCTGCAATAGATTAATGTGTCCGTCCGTCCGTCCCCTTTCAATACTTTAACGAAGTGAAATCTCGTGCTGTTGGGTGTTAAAAAAATTCCAATGTTCCTACCAGCCCACCCTGCAGGGACCTGTTATCGTGATGATCCTCATCATCGTAAAAAAAAAACCGCGGTAACCCAAATGCAGGCTCGTTGTGCCAAAGCGTCCACACCTGGTTAGCAATCCCACCAGCAGGGCCCAATTAACACCGGGACTTTAAGGAGCTGCAACTGAGGGCCTCTGACTTTGAGGACCTACCCAACAATACACACAGGCTATGCTTTAAGCTGGGTGAAATACAATGATGTGGCACTTTGAAAAATCATACACTGTAGTGTAATATGGTCATTATTTCCATGGCATCAATAACTACGTGAAAAACGACATCTTAAGCGCCGAAAATTACGAAAACATGTTCTTTTTAACTTTTGCCTCGCTTGACAAGTTGTATATCTCTTATGGAACAGATATTTCCAATCTAATTTTATATTTATAGAGCGCTTTCACTCATTGCGCTTGATATAGTTTAAACAAAAACGGTGATAGAATAGAATGGTTTAGGTGGCAGGGGCGTGACAATTATTGAGGAATGAGCCACCGCGATAGAGGGGTACTGATGGATAACGAAAGGGTAGGGACGGGAAGGAGTGGAGGGGCGAGGGAAGAGGAAGAGAATGGGCAATACGAGGTGAGATTAATAACAGCAGAGAAGTTTGCATCGGGCATGGGTGGTGGAAACACGGTCAAAGGAAGGAATTTAAAGTACAAAGAGGGGCTACAATCAAACTTAATCTGGCCTTGCCCACCAGACCCCTCCGACAGCCACCTGGACGATATTCTATTTCCAGACTGACGGGGTCTGTGGAAATCTCAGGGCTGACGACGAAGAAGAGAATGCCCACTGGAGAGAAACGCCAGGTGGGCTGCTGTTAAATAAGTTGGTTCCGATCACGCTAGTCATCCCACACGTAATAAACACAATAAATTAGACCACGGAACTAAATAAAAATGCAATATAAAACAATCTATTTGCTCAAGTTAATTATAGTGACCTCACGAATTCCTGTACACAGCTTCATTTCGATAATCGACAGTGTAAACTAGCGACAATGCTGATCGGTATCGATGTTACCCATATATCAGTATCATTATAACGTATCACCTATATGTTAATGCTTCTAAAACTAGTACTGTAGTATCTACACTGCCATAGCAAGTGAGAACCATGACACATAAGGACTCGACTTACGAATATGTTAGGTTCCAGAGATCTGTTCGTAAGTCGATTTGTTTATAAGTCCAACTTTACTCCTATCGATTCCAAATTTGTTGTGTGGCATGTACAATTAACACGGGGAATGGCTTTAAACGTTGTGCAATATCCTGTAGATGTAAATGCCACTGGTTCTTCATAATCTGCAGATATCGATGACACCACCACCATCTATTGCGCGGCGGTTGAACTTACGACTCTCGGTTTAACCAGGAAACTGCACATACGGACAGGTTTGTTCGTGTCTCTGAAAGTTCGTAAGTCGAATGTTCGTAAGTAGAGGATTCCCTGCATCGGACATTCAATACCTCGTGGTGGTGGTTGTTGGAGCACCTACTCAAAGGGTGGTTTGGTCCCCCACCATTCCTGGCCGCCTTTATATCTCCAGTGCAGATAATTATCACCCAGGACCCACCTTGCATGTGTCCTCGACACACACAGCTGTTACTACTTAGTTTAATCTAAAGTCAACCTTTGGAATTTTTGTAATTTTATTGTACTTTGAATAATATATTCGATATTGGAATCAGCGATAAGTATCAATGCTCTAACATACTTTCCAGTCCTTCCGATTTTAATTATAGGTTGCTGATATGAACCCCACGTCATCTGACTTCAAAGCTTGACTAAACAAAACATTGAAAATAAATTTGCCTCATTTTTTTATTTGGAAAATATTGAAGACATAAAAGGGCCCTTATAAATCGACAGCCAATCGATTAAATCTGTAGGATTGGCAAGTACTATACGGGAATAGGGTTTGCCCTTTTTTCTGGCAACAAAACAGGTGTTGATATGTTAAAACACCAAACTGAAACCTTATACAAAGAATCATGTCTACATTAACCACAATACTTGTGGTCAGAATGCAAACAAAAAACATACTCTGATAATATGATGCATTGTCCTTGAAATTGATTGGTCCACATCAGAGACAGCTTTCTTTTGAGCCTAGTCCCAAACGGTGTTAGACTAGTACTATACGGTTTGATATCGATACTTTAGGCAGCATCGCCTACCTCGAGTGTCAATGGGAAGCGGGCTTGTTGGGTTTGTTTGCTTTGCACCATCTGGTTTGGTCGGCCCTGACGCAATCTGGGCACATTGAAGGCGACTGCCCTTGAGATGCGCTCACGATCCAAGTAAGCTGCTGAGCATCTCGTGGGATGAAAGGAAGACTGCTAAGGACCCCCCAGAAGACGTTTCGCAGATTCGTGTCGGCTCTTCTGGCTCACGATACATACATCAAATCGTATGTATAAAACAATCCACGTTCTTCGATTTAAGTCAATGATGTGCCAACGTTGCGTTTGGGATAATGGTACACACCGAAGTGCACAGAGGAGACGGAAATAAGTCACAAACAATGCAAACGAGCAGGTTATAACGAGCCAAACGTCGCTTATTACCGAATGGAATCGAATCGTGACCCACGGATTGAGAAAATTCATCACTTCACAGATTGTGTGGGGGAGCAGTGTATTTACATGTGAACGCGAGCTACAACCTGCTTTGTGTATGTGCGTCCACAAGGCGGTGCATCTCCCTTCCAGTCGTCTCAGTCAATGCACCGACAGCGTCTGGGTATTCCTGTCCTGTGGTCTGCCGGCGAGCCTTTTACATTTCACGTGGTCTCAAAGTGCACCCAGCATTGTACAAAGTGCTCTGGCGACATTATGGTCACTTAACCTTCACCACTACTAAGCCTTTTGCCCATCCAAGGACGGGTGTATTGCAGTAAATCTGAAACTTGCAACTGAAAATCAGACCGCGACGTGATATACATTGAATCTGTCGGGGAGTCTGACCCCGGACTCCTCACCGAGGTGGGATCCACTGCTCCCCTCTTCCGTGTCCTGGGGAGGGTTACTGCTCACCGACTACCGCCCCCACCTCCCTTCGCTGCGGCCCCTCGGGGCATGATTCGTGGCTGGCGCTTAGCCACCTGAGATCAATCCACACACTCTCTGCGCACACTCACTCACACCCCACGCACTCGAAATCCGACGTCGCTCCTCTCCCGTGCCACGCACCAATCGCGCGCGCGGGACTCGGGGTCGGGGGTCAGGGGGCAGGGTCGTCACTCGCACACGCGCAGCTGTAGGGGGGGGGGGGGGGGGGTTGTCTCGGAGATTTATTTAAAGGGCTGTATGGACAAACTCACAGGTACGCCGCCCGTTAGCCTCACGCACACGCTAAACGCAAGGGCGTGTGAGTAATCTCACGTGCCCCTGTACGAGTCCGCCGCCGCTCACCAACACGCACACGCTAACCACGAGCTACACGCATGGGCGAGCACAAACACGCGGGTAAATACACACTCACGCACAAACACAGGATACAACGATGCACACTACCATGCGACCGTTCCACCCTCGCAGAAACCACACGACAAGGTTTATTGATCCCCAGCAGTTTATTCTCAGCGAGTCCGAGGCTAGATTACCCGAGTCAGTTTGAGTCAGCAGGGCAGGTCTAACCTATCTCCCGATGGTCTAAGACTCGATCCGTATCGCCTCTTTCAAATCACTCTCCTAAGACAATCTCACAATGGCCTCGATATCTCACTCTCGGGTACTCACGGTTCGACTCGTACGGAGCCGCTGGGTCGGATCCTCGCCGCACTTCGACTCGTCACGCGGACGTTCGAGTGGCTGTGAAGTCGACCGCCCCGAGCGCTGGCTTGAGTAGAACACAAACTCACTCTATCCCTACCTTCTCTACCCTTTTTATTGTACTCTACATCAAAGATAAATCGGCGCTGATCCGCTGGCCTCCCGTCCAATCAGGTGGCTCGGATTTCCCGCCACTCTCCCCGGACCGGTGCTCTCTCAGACGTCCGCTTTTCACCCTCTAAACAAGCGCATCTGTCCGACCAATCAGAGGACCGGCCCTGTTTTTACCGCCGTTCGTGACTCCGTACCCCCCCTACCTGCCTGCTGACCCGTGTGTGCTGTGGGTGTTGTGTGTGTTTTCTATCCGCGGTGGCTCAGCAGCCCCATCGTGACCACGTGATTACCACCCAAGTCACGGCACCGCGGTGCGAGTTAGCCTGGGGGAAGGTCGCCCAATGCCCTGGTCGCAGGAAACCGTGAAGATTGGTCCCATGAGAGGGCTTCTGGGTGAAAACCTGCCGGCCAGGTGACCTCCCCTCGGGGCTCTATGTGGGGGTGTGTGTGTTCATGTGGGGGCTCTATGTGTGTGTGTGTGTTCATGTGGGGACTCTATGTGTGTGTGTGTGTTCATGTGGGGGCTCTATGTGGGGGTGTGTGTGTGTTCATGTGGGGGCTCTATGTGTGTGTGTCTTCATGTGGGGTGTGTGTGTGTTCATGTGGGGGCTCTATGTGGGGGTGTGTGTGTTCATGTGGGGGCTGTATGTGGTGTGTGTGTGTGTTTTTATGTGGGGGCTCTATGTGGGGGTATGTGTGTTCATGTGGGGGCTCTATGTGGGGGTGTGTGTGTGTGTTCATGTGGGGGCTCTATGTGGTGTGTGTGTTCATGTGGGGGCTCTATGTGTGTGTGTTCATGTGGGGGCTCTATGTGGGGGTGTGTGTGTGTTCATGTGGGGGCTCTATGTGGGGTGTGTGTTCATGTGGGGGCTCTATGTGTGTGTGTGTGTGTTCATGTGGGGGCTCTATGTGGTGTGTGTTTATGTGGGGGCTCTATGTGGGTGTGTGTGTGTCTGTTCATGTGGGGGCTCTATGTGTGGGTGTGTGTGTTCATGTGGGGGCTCTATGTGTGTGTGTGTCTGTTCATGTGGGGGCTCCATGTGTGGGTGTGTGTGTTCATGTGGGGGCTCTATGTGTGTGTGTGTTCATGTGGGGGCTCTATGTGGGTGTGTGTGTTCATGTGGGGGCTCTATGTGTGTGTGTTCATGTGGGGGCTCTATGTGTGTGTGTGTGTTCATGTGGGGGCTCTATGTGTGTGTTCATGTGGGGGCTCTATGTGTGTGTGTGTGTTCATGTGGGGGCTCTATGTGGGTGTGTGTGTTCATGTGGGGGCTCTATGTGTGTGTTCATGTGGGGGCTCTATGTGTGTGTGTGTGTTCATGTGGGGGCTCTATGTGTGTGTGTTCATGTGGGGGATGGTGAGGGAGGAGCAGCGTCGGCCCCGTCGCCCGGAGGTGGCGGCGTCGTGGCCACGGAGTCGTCCGGACGGCCTCGCTGCTGCTGCTGCTGCGGCATCCCAGTGGCAGGGACGGCTCCGACGGAGCGGCCTCGCTGCTGCTGTGGCACCACGCATCCATTCGTGTGCAGTTTGTAGGGGCGCGGTGACACAGACTTATTTAATATAAAGGTGATAATCCCTTGTTCATCATGACGTCCTTTTTACTTGTATATGTCTCAACAACAGCGTCACGGAGATCACGTGACGTGAGGGTTCTGCCTTTGTAGTGAGGGTTGTGAGTTGACGCCGAGGAGGGGGGAGGAGGCGCCTCGCCCCCCCCACCCCCCATGTGGAGTGACGTCAGCCGCTAATTTTTATTAATGGGGGGGGGGGTGTCCATTTGGAGGACGTCACCTGCTCATGATTATTAATGACGGGGGCTGTTCGACGTGGAGTGACGTCACGCGCGGGACACACGGACATTATTGGCTCATTATAGTCGTAAATTCCTGTACAAGTGGATATGCCGTAGGGTACATTTACAACAGATGTACAATGAGATTACTGCTCAAGCGTATGTTAAGCAAAGAAGCACTGAATCCATGTTTCATGTTGGGCTGGAAGGCAGAACATTGTAGAGAGAGAGAGAGACAGAGGGCGAGAAAAATAATCCCTGTACACCCTTTTGCAGTGGGTTTCTGAGTCACGGCACTTGGGTTGAATAACCTGTATGTCCAGCAAACCTGAACCGCAAGAGAGATTTGATATTCTGTCGTGGAAACGCCTCCTGGGATAAATACAAAATAAAATCTCAGTTAAATTCGTGGACTGTCGTGGTTTAACAACACACAGTAGTTCATGAGCCGAGTTGACAGGCGAAGAAAACGATTGTATACAATACACGGTGGTCCATATGTCTTGTGACCCCAAATTCATTGACCCCTAACATTTTTTGTTCCTTTGCTTATGAATTTCTGTTTTCACACACATTGGCATGCAACAATATTAAGTTTAAGATAATAAAATGGTCCACCCTGTTGAATGCAAGAAAAAAAACTGGTACCAGTTTGTAATGACTATGCTGTTGTGGAAACAATTGGGCCAACGATGATCTTAAGTTGAGTGGGATTATGGAAGACCAAGGAAACCCCCACGTCCCCCAAGCACAACAATCAACTGAACACATACCGTTCATTGCAGTTTATTTTCAGGAAAACAAGCATGTCTGCATTTTGCTTTGCAACACCAATCTACCAAAAAAAAGTATTAAGAAGGAATGCTAGCGGACAGGCTGCCTGTTGAAAGCATAACCGTGTGGTTGGTTGGGCTGTGGGTTTCTTTAAGCTTCAGAGCAGCCAAATGGTTTCCGGTGTTAGAGCCATAGGAAGGGCGCTATGGATCTGGTTGTCTCGGTTAGGGCATGGCCGAATGGAAAACATTTTGCAGGAACGTAACCTCTACGTGACCATCTGTGTAGGTCATTCACATGTGGAAGCCCAAGTGCCGACCCTCTTACCATTTGCGTGCTTAGAAAATGTAATTCTGTGCTGCGTATCTCCATATGCGATTGCATTACAAGGTCCAGTGGTGTATAATTTGGAGCAAGCGTGTTGCTTTCATCACCTTCTGGGTCAGGGGAACATAAAAAATGAGACTCCCACTCAGCGAGCTACAGGGAGGCTGTGCACGGACTCATTAAATCTGAAATTAACTGACGATTGCACCACACACCCATTTATAGCCTGTGGTTTTCTATTGTAGGGTAGTGTAAACATAATGTGGGGCTAAATAACATCGTGAATTGGCTTTGCAAAAAGTATTTTTTATTTATTCATTCTGTACGTGGTTTTGATTTGCGTCCCTATGTATTTCAATTGACTAGAAACGCTAACTGCATTCGTAAATGAGGGAGGCCAACAATGAGGTACAAGCAAAAAAAATAACTTTTACAGCAGTCTTGAACATTGATACAGAGTCTCAAAAAACCATTACCATTTGAACTATCATGTCATTTCAGTAATGTCTTAGCAAAAAGTAAACATACCGTATTAGATTCAGTAGTGAGAGTATATTAAATATGCTTTGAAAGTAATAATGCCAGGAGAGATGCTTTTAGAAAAATGCCTTCTAAAATGGTCTCCATAATTACCCACATCAAAAGTTTGATTCTAACTCGTGGACATCTTATTTACATTGAGGTTCATTATACAGAACATTTGCACATGAGCTCTGTATTTTTTTCTTGTTGTAACTTTTGATCCACATTTTTATGAACGCATGTGTCATATATATATAAAAAATTTTTTTTTATAGGCTATATCATTTTAAAAGGTCAGAGCGTTGGGGTAGTGGGTTGTACAGTGTGCTCGGAACCCATTTTCCTGAGTTGGATTCCTGGCCACGGCTGACATCAGTTGATGAGTAATATCTAAACTGTCTTTCTCTTTAGTAACCTGCACTGACCAGCATGGTGAGGTATGGTCAAACAATCCCCCCTCGCCCCCTCCATGACCAACATTGTTTGTTGAGAGCTTCATCCTGCAGTGGATTGACAAAGTTAATACATATATATTTGCAAACGTTGAAATCAAGCACAAAATAACCCGTTGTTCAAGGTTCCTGAGTAACTCAAGATCATTCTAAGTATTTTATATTTTCAACACGTACATATTTATTGTTTTACTTCATCCAATATTCACAAAGTTGATATCTTACAGGCTTATCAACAACTTCACAACGTCTGACATCGGTTTATCAAATCGAGGCACACCGATGCTTGTACATTTTGGAGGTACATATAATGCCATGGAGTGTTACACGGTAAACATCACGTAAAGCGATCACTGACATTGCCATTTGTAGTTTTCTTTTAAAGTCGTCGTGAGTTCAAACAATAACAGTAAAGGGATAATTTGCACTTTGCGACCACAACAAAAACGTCGATCCGCAAACACGGCGTTGGTGTACGGTGCTTTTTTCAGGAATATTTTGCTGTTTTTTTTCCTGGATTTTCTGTTTGCACAGTCACACATAGTCACTTTAAGATGTTTTTCATGTTCGTGTTTTTTTGTTTGTTGCGGTCGCACCCGATTCAAGAGCCGAATGGCTCACAGGGCTATACCAAAATAAATAAACTGAAAACAACCGTGGTGCACAATCAAAAATACGGTACAAAATTAATTCAATACCAATGTGTGACCACAAGAGGGCACCATCGTTTTTTAATTATTATTATTCTGGACGAGTTGCTTTGACTCAGTTAAACAAGAAAACTAATAAAATCTCTTTCATATCTTATTTCGCATACGCTACACAAATGAACGTCCAATTAAAATGCAGTCGGGGCCTTAAAATAACACCGACAAGACAATCCCAAGGGCGTCTGTTTTTAGCGTCCAGTTTTGTGTTAATTCGCACGAGAATTGATGGCCTATAGTTCTCACTCCAACACACAATCGACATCATCTTCATATGTAGGCTACTTTAGGTTGTAAACGTTACAGACCAGGAGAAAATGCGACAGCTGCCACTTAAACGTGGTCCAAAGACGTATCGTTGACATATGCCTTTAGTTTGGAATGTATTTTTTCCCCACATCGGGTTGTATTTTTTCAATAATTTAATTACGCTTCGTGACCTATAAAACACATTACCATAATAATATTAATAACAATATATACATTCACAATTAATATATATTATAGATATACAGCACATACGACGTTTCGGATTATACTTACGCGGTACAATCGCTCAACGGAAATTCGTTCAGCATTACGTCTCGGGCTGCGGAGAATTGGCCCGCTCCAGTATCAGCGCGGTGCCGCTGAGGGCCTTCGAGGTGCTGAGCAACCTCCAGCCTCTGAGGCTGTCCTGCGAGTTCGGCGACGGTTCATCGGGGCTCCGGCTCCTCTCGCAGAGGCCGTCTGGGCTGTATCCCCCGTGGACCTCGTGGAGCTGGGAGAGGTGGGAGCTGCCCTTGCGACCGCCGCTGTAGCTGCTGCCCGACGACGACGCGTGGTGGAGACCCCACGGCTGCCTCCGCCGCCGCTGCCCTTCCCGGCAGTGGCAGCGCAGGGCGCGCAGGAAGGCCCTCTTGAACTCCTGGCTCGAGCACGGGTAGATGAGCGGGTTGATGCAGCTGTTGAAGTAGCCGAGCCAGAAGACCACCTTGAACACGGTCTGCGATGGCCTCACCGAGGGGAAGAATGAACCTGGGGGTGCAAAAAAATAAAGCAAATGCGTTAGGGAAGTGTTTTTTTTTTCTCGCCACCACGACTGTGTGCACAGAGGAGCATCCATCACCTACTTAAAAGCCAGCTGTTGCATACATCTTTCAGCAGAAGTAGCACGATGAAGAACACGTGCCTTGAATACAGTGTATCCACGCATTTGAAGAAAAGTGTATATTTAGGAATTCACCCATCCATCCATAGGTAGGTGTCTTTGGCGACCAATTTAAAAAGTTAATATACAACCATTTACCGAGTTAAATTATTCGGTGATGATGGCGGCATGGCAGTGGAGCACGTGCACAATCCACACAAACAACTCAAAACATTCGTCAATGACACTGCCCGTAAAGGAAATCTATTATAGGTGACGTTTTGGGCAATGGCCCTTATTCATAGCACGTAATTACGGAGTTGAACGGAGACATAAAGGCTGTGGACAAAACGGAATCTCATACATTGTGCTACTTTTGTTTCTTGAGTCTAGGTGAAATTAACGATAACATCTTGATTATTGATATTAGTAATATGGTTATGATGGCACGCATCTCCGATTTGCACGGTTGGCTACGTACAGTGCGAAAGAAGTTCAACATACATACGAAAACATTTCAATAAATGTAGTGTCTTGCTTAACACGTAGGCTTTCGCGACCAGTATTATTCATAATAAAGCTTTTTTTTTTACAAAACGCCAATTAATTACTTCTTCAGCCCACCGGTGTGTTTGAAGAGTGAAATAACAACATTTAGAATTCGAATACGACGTTTCGCTGGTAATTACATCCAGCATCTTCGGGCGATTGCCAGAATAGTGTCTTTCTGTGAAAAATGTTATTATTCAGACATAATTCTAGTTTTAATTGAAGCATTTTTTGTGCGTGGCTGAAGACTGGGATTTGGTGGTCGACAGAAGTGCCCCACGCACATGTCGGTATCGCGATTAAACCCTTCTGATCACGCTTCCCCTCGTGAACATTAATTGCTTCGTTGCCTACTAATGGTTTCCCATCTCTGTGTGATCCACCAACCCCGAGCCTTAGGATTGGCGTCTGCCCCCACGCCATCCGAATACGTGTGTACGCGTGTAATGCGCGCACACCGTGTTTACATTCTTGTGATGTCCCGACACGCGATTGGCCAGATTCACAAACGGTTCTCCTGCATGGCACTCCGATGTGTGTTACGGGTTGTACCGTCCGTAGATGTTTGCAAAACTGACAATTAAAATATCGTCTTGGCGTCGTGCCCCATTGCTGGTGTTGGTCAGAGACATCAGCACGTTTTAATCGAACACCCACACGAGAAGGAACGTTCGCAAATACGGGAATGTGACCCAATCTGTTCACGTTACTTTATTTAAATGTGATGACGCTTGTTTTTACATGCAAATAAGAGATCGTGTTACATTTATATTGTTGATCGTAATTTACAGCCCTATGTCAGTACACTGCCGGACGCGGGCATCTCCACACGCTATGTTTGACTATACTTCACCACGCTGGTCAGTGCAGAGCATTGTATGTGTACGAGTAGAAGTGCAAAACATTGCAATTGCAGATAACAATTAGGGTTAGTAAACAAGGGAAGAATGTTGGAGCAGTGGTGCAGTTGCATAGCACTGCGTTATGAGCACCAGACAACTTGATTACTAGCCATTGCAAACAAATCTGAAACGGGCACAGCGCTCCCCTTTACCAACCTGCACTAACCAGCATGGTAAATTCATAATAAAGGTTTTTGGGGGTTAGATCGCGTTTATTTATAAATGTGTCGTAACCCTCCACCACCCGACACGGCCAATCAGCAAAAAAAGTGTCACGTTGACAAAAGACAAATAATTCACTACTTCAGCCCACCGGTGTGTTGAAGAGTTAATCCACATTTACAGTTTGAGTACGACGTTTCGCTGGTAAATACTTCCAGCATCATCGGGCAATTCGCCAGAATAATATTGGTCGCGAAAGCCTACGTGTTAAACAGCATGGTAAAGTATGGATAAAAATAACTCCCACAACCGACACGACGTGCCGAGGCCGTCATGCAGCAATGGGTTGGCTTATGGTTGTGAATTAAATAAAACACCGCAATTGAATCACAGCACTGAAAAATAACGTGTCCTTAAACCCTGCATCATAGTTATACACTCATTGTGTGCATGCGGATTTGTTTTCATAATACCTACACGTGTACATCAATTTGTCAAGTCACTGCTAGATTAAGGCCTCTCCACTCCGTGCGGATCGTGGTTAATGATTGAACATACTTAACCTCGCTGGTCAGTGCAGGTTGACAAAGGCGTGGAGCAGCATATGCGAGAGAGCATAAGTGCAGTACAGCAATGGAATTTGGCTGCCCCTTTAAAAACAAAATACGAGAAGAGCCCAGCGATGTGAATTATAGGGTCACTAATCGTTCTTGTTTACTTTATGGTTGGGTCTGAAATGTGCTGCTTTGGCATTGGCGACGGCAGGAGACATGCGGTCGAGGACTGCTCGCATGTAGTGCATGTCCAAAATTTACGTTGGTTCAAAACTCCGCAATGTGATAAATCGAGTTCCTTTGTGCATTTATCAAAATTGTGAACTATAAAGTTCCGCGAAACTCTCACAAAGCAATGAGTTACACGAGGATATATTTGCAACACGGCTAGGTTATGTGTCCGGAGAGGCATAATTTAAACTAAACACATCGTTCCCATTACGCTGTGTATCTCTCGTCGCAAGAGATTAACTCCCACGCATCGCAAACGATGGGGAGGAGGTGAATTGACTCACTTGTGCCCGAAATTTAATGGAACTTATCCAATCTCTGCAGCCGGTTTTTATTATCCTCTGGAAAGGCTGGAACACATCGATCAACCCACACATGCACGCAACGTGGTTTAAAAAAGTGTGTTTTTTTACGAAGGGAAAGCGCTTTCTGAATTGTATAAATGTTACAAGTTGTTCGCAATTAAAACGGGTTGTCGATATTATTGATACCATAACGGGATTAATAGTCCAGAAGCTGCCATAACATCTGTAATGAGTTAAGCGTCGTTTAATTTGCGTGAGCAGCATAAACATCTGACGCGAACCCGTGGTCTGTGGCATGAGGTGGCTCCAACCAAACTCGCTCCGAACGCGTCCGACCTCGTTGGATCTTGGGAGCTAAGCGGGATTTTTTTTTGAAAGCCTGGCAGTTAGGAACTCAGGTAGGTATAAGTCGTGGCTCTTCGAAGTGTAGCCAGGAGGTGGCATCGTTGCGTGCCACACGCCTTGTTTCATGCCGCACGCCTTGTTTCATGCGTGGTGGGTGTTCTCCGGGTTTCTGTGTCCGACCACACAGAGCCAAACTCCCATGAACAAAATGAGCCAACCATCCCAGGGTAGCAGGACCCTCTCAAAAAAAGTATTGTGTACCACTGAGGCATTTCTGGGAGGGGGGGAGAGGGCGGATATTGCTGTGATATAATCTTTAATGGTAACAATTAAATATAAATTTTAAACATCACGTGACATCGCTTTGTTAATCCACCGCTGGATGAAGGGTCTCCCCACGTTGTCAACCATGGGAGGTTATTTGACCATACGTCACAACACTGGTAAGTGCGAGTTGATGGAGCAGGGAACCAGGATCGGTTCGGATACCACTCAACAAACTAAGAGCGCAGTGCACCAACCACCGCACTACTGCTACATCCGATTATTACGTATTACCTGTTTATTAAAATGAAAGAGGATATGGGTTAGCGCACCCGAATTGCAATCCAGAGGTCACCGTTTCGATTTCCCGGAGCGGCAGCTGAAGCAATGGTGAAAGTTTCTGAAATCACCCCATCTCTGTCCTACCTCGCAGTATAAATAGGTACGACACAATTAATTGATCGGCAGGGGAGTGTGGTGGGGTAAGGTGTGGGTAACTCCAACCTCTTCCGAGCCATCTGGTCTGTGAAAGAGTAGGCCAATGTACCCGCACGAGAGGGGGCTCCCGAAAGTCGAGAGCCTTCCGCCAGCAGTGGCGTGAGCAAGTAAATTGCAGGGCTGCGCCTTCATCTACAAATTAAGGCCACCCGGTCTATTTCTAACCCAAGGTATTGTACGAATGTGGAGTGCTTTCAAGGGGGGGGGGGGGCTCGGCTTACCGATGGGCAGAGCAATGAAGAATGGGAGCCAGCAGAGAATGAAGACTCCCACGACGATCCCGAGTGTCTTCGCCGCCTTCTTCTCCCGGGAGAACTTCATGAACCGCACGGACAAGGAGCTCCTGAAGTGAGGGCCCTTGCTGGTGTCCCTGAGCGAGTCTTCCCCCGGAGTGATCGTCCTCCTGTGTATGCGCAGGGTGACCTCTTCGGAGGAGCTCGAGCGCTCCCGCTTGATGCCCTCTTCGAGGCTCTTGGTCTGCCGACGCGCCGCGACGTACACCCGGCAGTACATGGCCAGCAGGATGACGAGCGGAATGTAGAAGGAGCCCATGGCCGAGAAGAGCGCGTAGCCTGGCACCTCCGTGATCTCGCAGACGGTCTCATCTGGTGGCGCCGGCTCCTTCCAGCCGAGCAGGGGCCCCACCGAGATGACGATGGCGAGCACCCACACGGCTATGAGGATGAGCAGCACCCGGCGTTCGGTCATGATGGTCGGGTAGCGCAGCGGGTAGCTGACCCCTATGTAGCGGTCGATGGAGATGGCGCACAGACTCATGATGGAGGCGGTGCAGCACAGGACGTCTAGCGCTGCCCAGATGTCACAGAAGATCCGTCCGAAGACCCAGTAGCCCAGTATCTCGAAGGTGGCCGAGAATGGCAACACGGTGGTGCTGAGCAGGAGGTCGGCGCTCGCCAGGTTGATGATGAAGTAGTTGGTGACGGTGCGCAGGTGTTTGTTGCAGACCACGGAGAGGACCACCAGGATGTTGCCTGCGATGGCAAAGATGATGAATGCGCCGAGGACCAGCGCCAAGGTGACAGCTCTTCTCGGCTCCACGGCCGGACTCGTCACGTTGCTGCTGCCGATGCCTTCCGAAGTCCCATTCAGATGTGAGGTTGAGTTTTCGTGAGTCACAAACATGTTGTCGCTCTTATTTGGCCCGTCTTCGAAACCGACTGGAGGCTTCGGTCCTAGCCCACGGGATGTTATCCATTCAAGTAACTTAGCGTGTGTCTGCTGTGCGCTACTTTGTAATAATAAATAATACAACCCTAAATATATTAATACGCTGTGATATTATTTAAAATCGCACTGCGAGAAAACTGAGATTTCTATGCCGATATATAATCGCGTATAAAGTGAGCTAAACTTTTAAAAACACATTGAATAAAACAAAAATACCGCAGCATTTTAAGAGCGTCAAGCGTCCTCCTTGGCGTGTTACTGAACGAATCTCTCCGCGAATCGCATACATGTAAGGGCTATACATAGACACACCAATATGACGATGGTGGCGGTGGTGCTCGATGATGAATGGGGGGGAGGGGGGCCGTCGAATCTTCTTTCAACGTTGCTGCCACCACCACCACAGCGGGCTTCACTCCAACGCAGAACTGCGCGCAAGAAAGTGACAGCGGCAAAAGGCGGCACGCGAACACACACACACAGACATATATACACCCACGTGTCCAGCCACTGGTCGGTCATCTCTCGTGACGCCGATGTGTGCGTGTAGAGCATCGACTCTATAAATAGCGCTGTGAAAAAGCGCTGGCAGCTCAGAGATTCCGTATAATGACTGAACTAACAGCAACCCCCCCCCCCTCTCCCCAAGGTACCTGGTTATGTCTGATTCTACTGATGCTTTTTTTTCTTTCCACGGATACTTTGCAGGTTTGTAGGCTTATAGCTGAACGCTTCTGCTGCTGCTGCTGCTGGAGCTGCAAGACTCTCGTTACTGCACACACACACATATATATAAGCACATGCTAATGATTGACGTTGCTTTCCAAATGACGTCACGCTTGCAAATTATTTTTTTTCGGGGGGCGTTTTAGTTTTTTCCCTTCTTCTCTTTTTGGCAAAACGTGATCTGCTCGCTTTGTGCACCGCGTGTTGCAAGCCCTGCGCGGGACAGCCGCGCAAAATCGGAAATTCACATTTGCTGCAAATCAGTACTGCACTGCTTCGTGGTAAAATGTCGCGAAAGACGTTGAGCGTAGACCCAAATGATATACAAGTTTAACGTACATCCCACACGTAATATACAACAACATTCTCACCGTGGATTCTTGTAAAGGACATTGCTGTGCCGCTCGATCTTCACGGGACCGTGCACGTAGCGTGACTTCGTTGAGAGAGGGCAAAATACAACGCGGCGAAGTTGTAGTTGTTAAACAAATGCTAAACACGGACTGGGTATCGATACGATCTGCATGTTGCCTGTCGTGCGTGCCGTTCTAGCTCTCACCCGCAATGTACACAATGTGTGAGGAAAGGCTGGGACGCCCACCGCTTAATCGTACGATGTTTTGCCTCCAATATTTGTTTAAATGGATGTAATAATTAGTAGTGTGGGCTGGGGGTGGGAGGGTGCTGGCTTTAGCATAGGGAGGAGGTCTCAGCTGTTTACCACACTGCAGGTCAAAACACGTCTCATCCTGTTTCTTTCCCCGCAATACTCGACGTTGGAAATTTCCTGTTGCCTCTTGCTCAGAATGAGAAGCGCTGTTTGTTACTGGCCTCTTTACAGTTTTTTTGTTTTGTTTGGGCCCTGTGGTCTGTGCTCAACAACTGGCGTATCACATCATGTTATTAAACATAGTTTTACTCGCTCGCTGGAGGCCGGGAAGAACGGACCGGCACGTACAAAAACACGTGCTCGTGCCGCTACAGCATTATACATTTAGAAAGTTTTGCTGGCTGGCACGCGGTCGGGCAAGTGCACGGCGGTGCGTGATGACATCATCAGCGTTGAGCCGGGTTCGTGCGTGTTGACGTCACGCCTACCCCCCCAACTCCTCCACCCCACTCACCCATCCCCGTCCGTGTATCTATCCCGTGCAAATACGCGGGCAGTGCGAGAGTTTATTTATTTTTATTTTGTGCCAATAATGTTCGTATAACCTTTGCTCAATCCGAGCCATTCTCCTGCCCCCCCCCCTTCCCTCCCCCCTACTCGGCTCCCGCCGCTAGACTCCACGGTGCTGTCTGCATGTACAGGGGGACCTCGTGCTGTGGTTCAAAAATCCTCTGACGTCCCGAGCAAATTTAGATGTTTGACCACGAAACGAAAGACCGGGGTCCGGGCCTTGTACGGCATGGGGCTTAATCATATTTGTTCTGTCGACGTTCGTGAAATATCGGACAAAAAGAGAGCGTTTCGCAGGGTTTATTTACATTTAGAAAAGCGAGACATTGTGTATTCAGGCAAATAACTTATTACATACTGTGTCCGAAAATTGCATGGGCGACATTGCCTTGTAAGTAGAACTTATGTTGAACCAACATCCTATTAAGTTGTACTAATATTTAAAATCCTGAAAGCAATCAAGAATAAGGCTGGTAGCCAGCAGAGCAATAGCAGCATTGCCATTTAATTACCCAGGAAAGTCTACCCCGAGCTTCAAGAGGGTTCTGCTTTGGGATATTTGGCTTGGAATAGAAACGTATACATCTTTACCACCATAACGCTTTAAAGTGTGTATATATGGCAACTGCTTGGCAGTGGTGCATACGCTATCAAGACGGGCCATTGTACAAAACGTCGCTCATTACGTAAAGTATTGCTTCCTCTTATAGGGCAGTGTTATTGACAGATGTGTTGAGGTTGTATTACGTGTGTACGCATACACAGTAGTAGCCCACATAGTATTGGGCTGTGCGCCACAATCATACGCGTAAAAAATGTGGCAATATCGTTCATTATTGCTCGCGAGTATTCTAGGCTATTGATTCAAATCCTGCGACGTTTTTAATTATAAGCAGTAGGCTACATAGTTCAAAAGAAGAGGGGGGTGGGGGGGAAACGCCTAACTCCTAACTTGATATTTGCCAACCACATTCCACAAGCACACGTTCTCGGTTGGAACACCATTTTTTCCCCATACAAGCAATGACCTGCCGCCGACGGGCATTGAGTCTTGCGGTGTATATCAGCTGCATGAGGGCGGCTAAATTAACAGAGTTGTCGCGATATGGAGATACGGCGATATATGAGCCACGATAATCGTATCGCCCGCTTTGCACGATATCGTCATACAGGTATCGCGATTATCGTTGCTTTTTTTCGATCTAGAATTTAATTTATTTCCCATCAAAATATGAATGAAATAACACGACGGTGATTACATTTGACAGGCGTACCCATTGAAGTGAACAAAATGCAATCACGTTTTGCGTTTGTGCCTTGCAAAAACACGTTTTCCGGATAAATTGTCAGCGTGATGATTATTTGATGCCATAGTCTTCTCACAGCACGTGCGTTGTAAGCATGATGTAATGTACATTAGAAGACTCGTTACAAGCTCATTTTGAGTGAACTACTTTGGAAAAACTTTTTTTTGTAAAATTTATTTGCAGAACAGCGCAAAAACGGCATAACTAAATTTCAAACAATTACCAAATTCAGATAAATTCATATTGCGACAATCGTCGTACGGCGAGGCAATTATATCGTAGAACATGATATCGAGACCATGCTCCTATTTCGATTACTAATCAAAGCTATACGTGCAGAAAGCAGTAACTACTTTATAACGATTGTGTAAGAGCTCCAATGTTCAGAGGCTCAAGATTGATTTTTAGTTGTTGAAAATAGTGCCAATTAGAGGCAATGCAGCATCCGGGCAGGCACGTCACGCGCATCAAAGGGAAGAGAACATCTTTTTTAAGAATCACTTGAGATTGCGATTTGGTGTAGCGTTCAGTCCGTTATGATGGTAGTGTACTCGATGAGGATCTTGAGGGGTGGTGGAGACGACTTGGAGAGACCTTCATCCAGGAGTGGTTTGTCCGTGGCTAATGATGATAATGATGTCGGTTTGGATAGATAAAAAAAAGTATAATTGTGCGTTGAAAACATTGGCCGTACAACCGTTGGTTTCTGAAAATGTTTTACTACACAGCTTCGCCCGGGACTTGGATTCACCACGCTCGGCCGCCTTTGTCTCCCCAGTGGCGATGTTCACACACCACACCAGTTACTCGTTTGAGGCTGAGTCGACCTAGGGGAGGCCCAGTAGCGGTTGAAATAATCGTCACCGGTGGTGGCCGTGAACGGGAATCGAACTCGGGTCGCCGGGTTCGTAGCGCAGCGCGCAAACCACTACACTACAATGCGTTACGCTTCCACATGCGCGGGTCACGTGACAGATTGACGTCAGCTCACTTGTGTAAAAAAATGCATTATTGAGCTCCCCCCCCCCCAAAAAAAAGTGTATTTAAAAAAATTTCGCATGATGTACAGTCTGAAAAAGTACCCACATGGCAAATTTCAAGTTTGTTGCATGTCGGGAAGTACGCTAAACATTTTGAACAGACACACATAATCACAAATTTTCCTTTTATATATGGACATTATACGTTGCGTTGGAGGAGAGCTCTGTCTTGTAGATGGAGTATATGGGAGTGCACTTGACAATACTGTCTGGTCACTCAGCATGCATTTGCTGATGAGCCCCTGCATGATGAGACCCCGAATGAGCCTGGAGGCAATTCCGTGTTATCAACAAGTGACGTTGTAATGTTGGTGGCATCTTTTCCGTCGTTTCTCTGAAGTATTTGCTGGACGTGACTAGCAACTACTGGAAAGGTATATTTCTTTGCTAGGGCATTACACATGTGACTGCATTTTTGTACTGCATTGCGTTTAAGTTGAGAGGTATGGTTAGAGCTATACCATATGGGACCTTTCTTGCCAGTGTCAAAATATAAGAAAAGGTTTTACCCTTTTCTGGCAATAAAACAGTGGTGTTAAGATGTTAAAACACCAAACAGAATCCCGTCTTTTGGCGTCCTCTGAACTAACCTAACTGATTGAGACTCAGCTCCAAAGGAAGCTCTCTCTCTGTTGTGGACCAGTCAGTTTCAAAGACAATGCATAGACGATCAGAGCATGTGTTTTTTGTTGTTTGCACCTTCACCACAAGTACGTGTGGCCAACGCAGACAGGATTCCTGGCAAAAGTTTTCTGTTTTGGTGTTTTAACGTCTTAACACGCCTAATTTTATTGCCAGAAAGGGTAAACACATTCTTACATGGAGCCCATGCCACCCGCAACACGAACGCGTTTCAAACCCTGGCTCAGCGAAGCAGCTCGCTGCGTGTGTAACGTGACCACGATAGGGGATGAGGTTTGCGAAAGTCACCCTGACGCTGGAAATACGGCGTGAAGGGTGGCCTCACGACTCAATCGTCGGACCACTGAGCGGGCAGGCAAATGTGTCGACACAACCTGAACTCGGGTTGAGGCACAGAGTTGATGGTCTCAGCCCGGTCGACAATGACTACACAACAGGCACGTGATCAAATGTGTCGTTTTCCCTGATTGGTTGCATTCGACATTCCACTGAATTTGCTTTGAAATTTACAAAACACAGTAGAAGCGGATTGTAACCACGCCTCTCAGTGAGTCCAGGTATGGAATTGTTCTTTTTTGTTATTTTCTTTGAACCTATCCACGTGAATTTACCGAAAGACCCAAGAATATGGTAATGTTCACTTGTGATGAGACGTCGGAAGTAGTTTTGTGGTGTCCCGTTTCGCGGACTGTTCTCGCATACGGTGTGATGCAACTGCTCCGAGAGGGTTCCGAATTGACCCTTTATCTGCTGACACGACTCCGATAGCACAATCGGCGTATTATTGGTACGACAAACATATACCATGTATAAGGTGCGTGTTGTTAAATCGTGATGTGGATGCGTCTAATATTCGAATCGCATTCGGTCGTGGTGGCCAAAATGTTTTGCTTAAATGATAAAGCAGAAACATACCACGCGATCATTGCAGCTCTTTAAATCAAACTGAAGTCGTTAT